ATCTTCGCAATTTTTAGAATATTAAAATAGGCCCCCAGTCACGGCTTACGGTTGCGCGATGAATAGGCCTTCAGTATAGAGCGCCATGCAATAACATGATTAATCATAAAAACTCTGTAATGTTAAAATTAAATTATTCTTAATTATGTTAAACTGATTTAATCAAATTACAAAAGTTTAATATATTGAAACAATAGTAGCTAAACTAAACTAAAATTATGGTAAAAGGGTGGAAGGTCAAAGTAGAGATAAAGAAATGGAAAAAATGAAAATAATAATAAAAAAAAGTAGGGATGCTTAAAGTAATTATAATTCTTTCAATTTAAATATAAAAAACATTCTTATCATCTATTGATAATAAAGGTAATAATTTTTAAATTTGTACAACAAAATAAAATAAAAACTTATATAAAATATATAGAGTAGATTGAAATAGAGGATTGAAATAGGGATAAAAATGTTTGTTTTTTTGTTCCAAAATAATTCAATAAACTTTTTTCAAAAATTTTTTGATAATCTTGTAGAGAATTTTTTTATAAATAAAATGGTATAAAATTTGAATAAATAAATTTTTTTGTGGATAAATTTTCAAGTTTTTAAAAATGTAATAATTTTTTTTTTTTAAATATGGAAATAAAACTCATGTGAGTTAAGTTTGCTGCTTTTGAACTTTGAATGTATCTCTGTAAAATTTTTATGTTCAAGAATCTTTTTTTAATGGTGAAGAATCTTTTTTTAAAATTAAGTTAGCTTTTTCCTAAAGGACGTCATGAATTTAAAACTGTAAATTATGGGATTAGGTATTATATATAATGAAAATTATGGGATTAGGTATTATATATAATGAAAATTATGGGATTAGGCATTATATATAATGAAAATTATGGGATTAGGTATTATATATAAAGAAAATTATGGGATTAGGTATAATGTATAATGAAAATTATGGGATTAGGTATTATATATAATGAAATATGCTGATTACTCACTTGTTTAATTCTATTTAAATGCAGTTTTAATAATTTTCCAAGTTGTTGAGTTGTATATATTCAGATTTTAGTTGTATGACATGTTGTTTTTATTTACATCTAAACATTAATTTGTTATTTACATCTAAACATTAATTTGTTATTTACATCTAAACATTAATTTGTTATTTACATCTAAACATTAATTTGTTATTTACATCTAAACATTAATTTGTTATTTACATCTATACATTAATTTGTTATTTACATCTAAACATTAATTTGTTATTTACATCTAAACATTAATTTTTTATTTACATCTAAACATTAATTTGTTATTTACATCTAAACATTAATTTGTTATTTACATCTAAACATTAATTTGTTATTTACATCTAAACATTAATTTTTTATTTACATCTAAACATTAATTTGTTATTTACATCTAAACATTAATTTGTTATTTACATCTAAACATTAATTTGTTATTTACATCTATACATTAATTTGTTATTTACATCTAAACATTAATTTGTTATTTACATCTAAACATTAATTTTTTATTTACATCTAAACATTAATTTGTTATTTACATCTAAACATTAATTTGTTATTTACATCTAAACATTAATTTTTTATTTACATCTAAACATTAATTTGTTATTTACATCTAAACATTAATTTGTTATTTACATCTAAACATTAATTTGTTATTTACATCTAAACATTAATTTTTTATTTACATCTAAACATTAATTTGTTATTTACATCTAAACATTAATTTGTTATTTACATCTAAACATTAATTTGTTATTTACATCTATACATTAATTTGTTATTTACATCTAAACATTAATTTGTTATTTACATCTAAACATTAATTTTTTATTTACATCTAAACATTAATTTGTTATTTACATCTAAACATTAATTTGTTATTTACATCTAAACATTAATTTGTTATTTACATCTAAACATTAATTTTTTATTTACATCTAAACATTAATTTGTTATTTACATCTAAACATTAATTTGTTATTTACATCTAAACATTAATTTGTTATTTACATCTATACATTAATTTGTTATTTACATCTAAACATTAATTTGTTATTTACATCTAAACATTAATTTTTTATTTACATCTAAACATTAATTTGTTATTTACATCTAAACATTAATTTGTTATTTACATCTAAACATTAATTTGTTATTTACATCTATACATTAATTTGTTATTTACATCTAAACATTAATTTGTTATTTACATCTAAACATTAATTTTTTATTTACATCTAAACATTAATTTGTTATTTACATCTAAACATTAATTTGTTATTTACATCTAAACATTAATTTGTTATTTACATCTATACATTAATTTGTTATTTACATCTAAACATTAATTTGTTATTTACATCTAAACATTAATTTTTTATTTACATCTAAACATTAATTTGTTATTTACATCTAAACATTAATTTGTTATTTACATCTAAACATTAATTTGTTATTTACATCTAAACATTAATTTGTTATTTACATCTAAACATCAATTTTTTATTTACATCTAAACATTAATTTTTTATTTACATCTAAACATTAATTTGTTATTTACATCTAAACATTAATTTGTTATTTACATCTAAACATTAATTTGTTATTTACATCTAAACATTAATTTTTTATTTACATCTAAACATTAATTTGTTATTTACATCTAAACATTAATTTGTTATTTACATCTAAACATTAATTTGTTATTTACATCTAAACATTAATTTGTTATTTACATCTAAACATTAATTTGTTATTTACATCTAAACATTAATTTGTTATTTACATCTAAACATTAATTTGTTATTTACATCTAAACATTAATTTGTTATTTACATCTAAACATTAATTTGTTATTTACATCTAAACATTAATTTGTTAATTTTCTCATCAGCTCAATCATCACGTATTCATGTAAATGTTTGTTGCCATGTCAAAAAAGTTGGGCACAAATTAAATCAACAGTTTATGCAGATTCAAAGTTCAGAGTTTTAATCAGTCAAAATTGCGAATTTCTAACATGTTTGAAAAACCATTATCTCAATATTAGCCATCATCTCAACAACCTTTCAGTTCTAGATTTATTAGGTTAATGTAACTATTTTTTAGTCGGATACCATCAATAGAGTTTAAGTTGCTATGTTCTGTTGCTAAAAGTCCAACTTTAAGTTGCTTTGTTCTGTTGCTTAAAGTCCAATTTTAAGATTATAATTTTTAATTGGGATAGTTTATAAGTAGCTATGTAATGTGTATGTATATGTGCACATACTCTTTTAGTACGTTTTCTAATGCAATTTAAAGTTCCTCATAGATTGACCTGATCAAATCTAATTTTCAGCTAAATGCTGTCAAGACAAAAAAAAACATGATACATTTACACAATGTTAATCATTATTAAAAAAAAATACTGATGTTTATAAAAATAAAAAATCACTATGAAAATAAAAACTCACTTCAGTTTTCAATTTCATGCATAATTTTATATTTCTAAACCAATCGAATCAGTTATATTAATTGTAAAAATCTTGTAAAGAAAGGTGATAACTGCTGCAGCAAAAGATAATGAGTTTGGTGAAAAATACATTAAGTTCGTTTTTACACAAAAATTAGAGTAGTTTAATTGTGCCATTTAAAGTATCGATAATAAACAATGTTCTTTTAATCAATCTTGCAACCTCTGGATTTTTATTTAATTCTAAATGTGTTTTGGAATTACATCATCTAATACAAGCGAGGAAAGTTTTTGTTTTTAACTGAATAACTGATTATTTTTTTACTTAGTATTTCTTTTTTAAAAAAGCAATGTATTAAGGTTGGATTCAAGATTCCTGTTTTTTGTTGGACTAAAGATGCATATTTTGAAATAAACAGTATATCAGGCTGCTTAGTATGCTGATTTCATTTGATAGTTCTTAAAAGCACCACTGCTAACAACTTTTCCTGGGGTGAATTTAGTTGGAATCATGGGTATGATTAAGTACGCAATGTTTAACTAAACTGCCTCTAGCACTTCTATCAAAAGTTTGAAAAATTATTTGTGATTTCTTGCAGAATAAAAAAATGTTCATGCTCTATGTGACGAAACACTAGAAAATAATACAAGAAAAACAAACTAAATAATACAAGAGAAGAAGTTGTAAATAAAAAAAAAAAAAAAATATTTTAATATTAAACATAGGGAAAACTATTGTTTGCCAATATTAAAAAAAAAAGTTATGGCAAGTGTCACGATATATGGTTAGTTATATATTATGATGCAACTATTGTTTGATAATGTTAAAAAAAAAGTTATGGCAACTGTCACGGTATATGATTAGTTATATATTATGGTACAACTATTATTTGCCAATGTTAAAAAAAAGTTATGACAAGTGTCATGGTATATGGTTAGTTATATATTATGGTACAACTATTGTTTTTCAATATTAAAAAAAATTATGGCAAATATAATGGTATTTGGTTAGTTATATATCATGATACAACTAGTTGGATGTTTGTTTGACAGCTAAATTTATCTCTATCAAAAACAGAGGGGTGCAAGTTATGTCCAGGTAATTAATTTTATTTTATTCATTCATGTACTGTGTTGTAATTATATTTTTAAAGAATTTTTACGGTAACAAATTATTAGACTTTTTTGGGTTCACAGTTTTTTTTTTTTACTATTTTAGATTCTCAACAATTTTAGATGCCATGTGTCTTTTTGAATGTTATTTGAGTATTTCTGAAGCAATTCTCTAAAATATAAAGAAATAATTTTTGAATGCACTATGCACTCATACATCTTTAAAATAAATGAGTACTTAAACACACTCTGTTGTACCAACCTTGCTGTATTAAATTGGAATTTGGACCAAGGCATAGATTTTGGTCCAATTTCAGGTCATTTCTTGGATCTTGTTTATTAAATTACCTCTAAATACACTTCTTTTTTTTTTTATCTTTCTGCATATAAGTTATTTTATTTTCTTACAGGGACTTTCTCTAAAGTACTCTTTGGAGATGACTAATGGCAACAGTTTTTGGACAAAACAATTTTCTGCTGATGAAGCAAGTGAGTTTTTAATAAATAAAATTTAGAAATTTTTTATTTAAAATATTATTTTTCTATATAATTAGCTGTTATTTTTTAAAAAATATTTATTAAATTGTTAATGTTTAGATATTTTACAGACAGAGATATTGTTTCTAATTCTATCTATATTAGTGTTTTTACTAACTATCTTTTTTGCTTGTAAGTAAATTTTGTTTCTTGCTCTTACTTATGTCTAATTGTTTATGTGGTTGTCTTTCTTAGGTGGATTTATTTATCCAAATTTTTGTGCTTTAAAGGAATTGTTTTTGTATTCATTACTTTTGTGATGTTTTTTTGTTCTTGTTTGTAGTTTTATTACGCCGACGTCAATTACTTCATACTACATACAAAATGTTTCTTGGCATCACATTTTTTGAATGTATGCTTGTTAAACATCGTTCTTTTATTTTTAAGTTTAATTTTCTTGATTATGTATCAAAATGTTTTGACCTGTTATTTGTTTTTTGTTTTTTAGTAGTTTCAGTTATTTTCAATGTTTGTTATTATACCGGCTATGGTTTAAGTGGAAAACCTCAAGAAGGTTTACAAAATTTTGGTATAGTACTTTATTCGTGTTTTTAAAAAAATCTTTTCAAAATTTTTTATTTATTATTACGATATCATTTTTATAATCTTTACCATAGTTATTTCTGTAGACTGTAAAACAAGGTTGTAGACTTTAAAACAAGTTTGTAGACGGTAAAATAAGTTTGTAGACAGTAAAACAAGTTTATAGCTGTAAAACAAGACTGTAAAACAAGTCAAAAAAAAAATCTCATCTTTTAAGTTTTATTTATTTAGCAAGAGGAATGCATTGCATTGGTGATCTTATTTTTGTTGTTCTTTGCATTTTGCTTGGAAAAGGTTTTACTGTAACAAGGTTTTTCAAAATTATATTCATTAAATGTAATTTATTTAAATTGTTTTTTTAATGTAATGACTTGATATAAAAAGATAAGTGAATTCAGATTATTTTTCTATGTATTTATAAAGCTATTGTTAATTAAAAAACTTTGTTTATAATATTAAGCTTATAGAAAGCTTGATTGTTGTTTATATAAATATATTTAATATATCTTTTATTTAAGCAATTAAAAGATTTATTTAAGTTATTTTCGTTATAACATAAATATTCTTTTTAGAGGGAAGATCAGTTCTCTTGGGCAAGTTAAACTATCTGTTTTTACAACATTGTATGCTATCACTTACATAGTATTATTTATCTATCAAACAAAAGTTAGTTTTTATTTTTAATTTACTTTTAATTGGTTTTTAACGTTTTTGTTTGTTTTGGTTTTCATGTCAGAAAGTGTTATAGTAGTGATAAAGAAAACATGTCTTACGCATGGTTGTATTTTATGCATGGTCGTGTCTTATGCATGGTCGGGTCTTATGCATGGTCGGGTCTTATGCATGGTTGTATCTTATGCATGGTCATGTTTTATGCATGGTCACGTCTTATGCATGGTCATGTCTTATGCATGGTCATGTCTTATGCATGGTCATGTCTTATGCATGGTCATGTCTTATGCATGGTCTTAATTAACTCCTGTTTTTTTGTAGTACAATGTTCAAGTTAGGATTATTCTTTTTTTCAAACTAAAAATTCTTAAATGATATTTTGAGTTTCAAAATTATATAGATTTTATGCCAAGTTTGTTATTTTCAAGTTAAAACAAAAATGATATTTATTAATAATATACTGTATGAAATATTTTTTCGATAAACTGCAAAGTTGTGTACAAGTGTTTTTACATCTTAATTTGATTAAAAAATTTTTAGTTCATTGTTAATTTATACTTACATTATTAATTTTAATTTAATTTTTACTTTCATTAAATATTTTATATAAATTTTAACACACCTATTTTTTTTTTTTTATTGCTCACAGAACCTCTTACAAAAAGGTCCTACAACAAATGGTGTCTTTATGAAGGTGTCAATTAGCATTTGTCATAAAGTTTTATTCAAAGGAATAAAATCTAAAAGCAAAATATCTAAAGCCTTTCTAAATTTTTGGTTACAAGTGCCAAGTGAATTAATATTTGCGTTAAATAGGTACTAACAAAATAACTGATCCTCTCAAATATTTTGTCTAAACAATGTCTAAAATCATTTTTGTTAGTAGAATGAAGACTTTAGTATATTTTTAACAGTAGCAATAAAAAAAGTTTCTCAAGATTATATGGTAGATAAATTGACTGATGTTGATGCCCTAGTGAAGAATGAGAGATGCCTTAGTAAAAGATGGCATCAATCAAGTTTAGATAATAAAACCATTATTACATCCTATCTTCATTACTGTCATCATTGGTTCATCAATGATTCATAAAGTAAGGTTCATCAATGATTCATAAAATAAGGTTCATCATTGATTCATAAAGTAAGGTTCATCAATGATTCATAAAGTAATCAGAAAAACAAACAAATTAAAAATAATTGCAATCTTCAATATTAATCTTCAAGATAAATAATTTATTTAAATTGAATAAATTTAATTATCTAATACTTATATTAATTTTTAATGCATGACTATAAGTTCTTTAATGTAACTTGAATGCCTCTTTACCCTCTTTAGCCTCTTTACTTCTCAACATGAAAACATAGCTACTTTTTTGTAGCTTTTTTTACTTCATTCATTTCCAGGTCAGGTCAGGATAATCGAGATCAATCTTGCTACTGGTATCACGTAACCCAGTACCACCTGCCACAAGCCCTGCTGCCTTGCAGAGTGTGCTCTTCTTATGCAAAGGCTAGGAGAAATAAACTCCGACTAAAAATTCCCCTGCCTTGGGGCTCTTGGTTGAGTAAAGGCTAGAGATGGTGTCTCGATAAAAACACTCATCTTGGGCAGATGTTAACTGCATCCAGCTAAACATCCCCTGCCTTGGGGCTCTTGGTTGAGTAAAGGCTAGAGATGGTGTCTCGATAAAAATACTCATCTTGGGCAGATGTTAACTGCATCCTGCTACTGTCTTGTAGAAGGCCTCCTAGGCAAAGACTTTAGGAGTAAGCAGAAAAATTCTGCTTACCAGCCTTGAACCCCTTCTTCATCTATTAGGCTGGCGTAGATGTAACCTGTGTTACATTGTTTCCTGCCTAGGATGATGAATGCTGGATCTCCTTGACTCTACTCATAGAATTTTGCTTATGCCTCTATGATAATGGCTATGCAACTCTTCCTGTTATCTCCATATGAGGGTACAGCTCTAAAACTCAGTTTAATGGTTCTGAGGCCGGCTGGTAGTAAGGTTTCCCGAACTCTGTGGTAGCTCTCAGAGAGGCTGATTCCATCAACAGCTGCAAAATATCAGAGTATTAACAGTGCCATGTTGCGCATGGATGGTGACCCTGTTAATGCTTTTGGTGTGCATTGTCAAGGCCACATAAGGAGCCCTATGTCACGGCTTAGGGTTAATTAACAGGACTGAGACAACTGCATAGCTCATTGATTAGGAGGCTGTGCTCTATCTATGAATGAGTCAAGTTCTCAATAAACCCAAATCATGACCAAAGTAACCAAAAATTTAAAACCTAAAAAACCATCTCCACCACCTAAATATTTTAATATATCTTTTACAAATATTCGCGGTCTACGAAGCAACTTTCCATCAGTTGAGTCTTACCTCCTGCAAAATTCACCAGACTTGCTTGCACTCAGTGAAACAAATTTAAGTTCTGCAATTCCTTCTTCAGATGTCAGTGTTGATGGGTACTATCCTTTGATTCGTAAAGACTCCAATAGTCACATGCTAGGTTTAGGGGTATACATACGCATTAATTCCCCTATTTGTCAAGAAATCAGGTTTGAATCCTTTGACCATTCTTTTATGTGCTTTCGCCTAGCACCTCTTCACTCTATCACCTTTCTCTTTGTTCTTTATCGTTCTCCTTCTTCCCATGATTGCACTCTTTTAGATGTTATCTCTGATCAAATTGACCATGCCCTCTCTCTTTAGCCCTCTGCCAATATTGTTGTTGTTGGTGATTTTAATGCCCATCACACTGAATGGCTTAGCTCTAACACCACTGATCCTGCTGGCACTAAAGCCTTTAACTTCTGCGTTTCTCAATCTCTTACTCAGATAGTTAACTTTGTGACTCGTTTTCCTGACAACCCTAATCATTTACCTTCACTCCTTGACTTATGTCTTGTCTCTGACCCTAGCTTATGTTCAGTTTCTCCCTTTTCTCCCTTAGGTGGTTCTGACCATGCAATGATCTCTATAAATCTTTCTTCTCGTACTTCTTTTTTGGGCTCGCCTTATCATCGCACCACCTACTACTACCCTAAAGCTGACTGGGATTCCTTTCGTGATTTTCTTCGTGATGGTCCTTGGGCTGATGTTTTTCTCTCTCAGCTGACAAATGTGTCTCCTACGTAACCTCCTGGATTCAGGCTGGAATGGAAGCTTTTATTCCTTCTCGTCGGTTTCAAGTCAAGCCTCATTCTACTCCATGGTTTTCTCCTTCTTGTGCGGCTGCTATATCCAATCGTAACCATTTTTTTCATCTTTTTCAAAAGAACAACTCTCTTGAGAACAAACGGCTATTTATTATTGCAAGAAATCGATGTAAAAAGGTGCTTTCTGATGCTAAACTCCATTATTCTCAGTTCACTAAATCTCGCATCTTATCGCAGAAGTTAGGCTCTAAAGACTTTTGGAAAATCTTCAACAGCATTGTTAACAAGGGTAGATCTAACATTCTATCTCTCATTCATGAGACTGATCTTGTTACCTCTCCCAGGGATAAGGCAGAACTGTTTGCAAAGAACTTTTCCACTCTTGAATCTTATGGACATTCTCTTCCTTCCATTCCAGTCAAACAGGTTGACCCATTGTTAGACATTCAAATCACTCCGGCTTCTGTTGCTAAAGTCATATCTCAATTAAACTCGTCTACAGCTTGTGGTCCAGACAACATTCCTGTCACAGTCTTGCAGAATTGTTCTCCAGAACTTTCTTCAATTCTCTCTAAACTATTTAACAAGTGTTTGACTGAGTCTTGTTTTCTTGCTTGTTGGAAAATGGCATCTGTGGTTCCAATATTCAAAAACTCTGGAGAAAATTCTGACCCCTCCAATTATCGTCCGATCAGTCTTCTTTCTGTTATTAGCAAGGTCTTTGAGTCTTTAATCAACAAATTCCTCACATCTCATCTTGAGTCAAATAAACTGCTGTCAGACAATCAATACGGTTTTCGATCCTCTCGCTCTACGGTCGACTTGCTAACTGCTGTAACTGAAAGATTTTATCGTGCATTAGATGGAGGCGGTGAGGCTAGGGCTATTGCTCTCGACATATCTAAAGCTTTCGACAAAGTTTGGCATGCTGGTCTTCTCCATAAGCTTGCTTCATATGGTGTTTCTGGGAAAGTTTTTGAGATTATCAAATCATTTCTTTCTGACCGGTTTATTAAAGTCATCCTTGAAGGCCAACACTCTTCTTTATTTCCAGTAACTTCTGGGGTTCCCCAAGGTTCCATCCTGGGCCCTGTTTTGTTTCTTATCTACATAAATGATCTTCCTGACAACCTTTCATCTAAAGTAGCTTTTTTTGCTGATGACTCAACTTTATACTCCTGTCTTGACAAAAAGTCTTCTCTTTTCGATCGCCTAGAACAAGCAGCTGATCTTGAATCTGATCTCACTTCAGTAATAGATTAGGGTTCACAGTGGCTTGTGAATTTCAACTCTAAAAAAACCCAATTGCTTACTGCAAACAACTACCGTAATATGGTCAACATTCCTATATTAATGAATGGCAATCCTCTTACTGAGTCATCCTCTTTATGTCTTCTTGGATTATCGCTTACTACTGACGTTTTATGGAAACCATATATACAATCGATTGCTAAATTAGCTTCTGCTAAGGTTGCTTCTCTTTATCGTGCTCGCCATTTCCTTACTTCTAATTCCATTCTCTACCTCTACAAATCTCTTATTCGTCCCTGTATGGAATACTGTTGTCATATTTGGGCTGGTTTTTCTAACGATTCACTTTCTCTTCTTGACAAGGTCCAAAAATGCATTGTAAATGTTGTTGGACCTGGACTATCTGCTAAGCTTGAACCTCTTTCCCATTGTCGTAAAGTTGCATCTCTTTCTCTTTTCTACAGATACTATCATGGTCACTGCTCAAAGGAGTTATCATCTCTAGTTCCATCAACTAAAATTCATTCTCGTTTTACTCGTCATTCAGCTAAGTCTCATTCGTTTTCTGTATCTGTCCCTGCATGCTCTAAAAACTTTTATTCATCTAGTTTTTTTCCCCGCACTTCAATTCTTTGGAACTCTCTCCCATCTTCATGTTTTCCTGACTCATACAACCTTCAACTTTTTAAGTCTTCTGTCAACCGTTTCCTTGCTCTATAACTCTGTTCTTTTTTTTTCCTAGTAACTCCCAACTTAATAGTGGTTGCTTGCAGCCTTGTTGGGAGTGAATGCAAATAAAAAAAAAAAAAAAAATTCACTCATTTTTTTAATAATGTAAATTTATAAAATTTAAAATTAAAATTTTTTTTACAAAAATCCTTAACAAAAACCAAATTAAAAAAAAATATTTTCAACTCATTTTAAACAAGTTTCTAACAATAAAGCAGAATTAAAAAAGAATTCGTAAAACCAAAATGTAACAATACATAAAACATGAAACATAATAGGGAACATCATACTTTCAAAATTTTTGATTTTTAATTTGGTGGATACTTTTTATGGTGTCATTATATGTGAATAATAACTTTTAGAAAAAAAATTTCATTTTTTTTTTTTTTTTTACCAATGCAGGATTGCAGTTTTCAGAAAGGTAAAGTTGATCATTTATGCATAAATGCAAGGGGGGTTAAAATTTTTAAACTATTAAAATCTGAAACTTTTTAGATTTTTTTTTATATAATACCATATGCTATGAAATATGAATAATTTTTTTTTTGAAAAATAAATATATTAATGGGGTTAAATGTGTAAAAAGATTAAAATTAAAGTGTTAAAATATAACATATATGTAATACATACAAATTTAAAACAATCATTGTTTGAATGATGTCATTTAAAGTTCAAACAATATAACTGTTAAATTACTAATATAACTGTTACAATATAACTGTTAAACTACATGCTCTAATTCAAAGGATTGGCCCTATTGCAAAGACTCTATCTGAAGTTAATGGCATAAAAAGAATTAATACATTTGAACCTATATAGTAGCTGGAACCTTTGATTGAATATCCTGAAAAAATTACCAAAACAATTTCGACAGATGCAATTCTTTGTTAAAAGTTGGTATAACATTTATCTACAGACCAAATTGACATAAATCTTTCTAAAGCAAAGTGTAAAAACATTTGCTACAGCAGATTGCTTGCCACAACAGATGGATTGTCAGAGCAGAAGCTTTTATTTTTTTCTATATGCAAAATAATACCTATATGGCATAATAAGCTCCATTTTAAATGGTGTGGCAATGTTTAGAATTTCCTTATCATGTCTTTTCAGCAGTCACAGCATTGATACTTTGTGACATGGTCATTAACAATGCTGTGCTTCACTTTTATTTTATATTACATATGAAAATATACTTGTGCTGTCCATTTAACGATTTAATGAAACAATATTAAATATTAAATAAAATAATGCCACCAGTAAACATTTGCTCAGTCATATAGAAAAAAATGAAGAAAATATCCCTATGCTATAGGTAAAAATTATTTTTTTTTTCAAATTTTTTTTCCTAAAGTCACTATGCACATATAGTGACACCATTAAAATTATCCGCCAAAATTAAAATCAAAAATTTTGAAAGTATGGTATACTTAAGTATATATTGTATAAAACAAAATCTTTAAAAGTTAAAGAAAGAAAAACTTTATGTATTTTAAGAATGTGCTCAGTTCAGAAAACTTGTATTTATTACTGAAAATGTTTTTGTTTTTGGTAATTAATTCTCAAAATTTGAAATCTTAGAAATGTAAACATGAGGCCGGGTGAATAAAAACAAGCAATTGCTTTACTTAGTAATCTTTATTCAAATAAAGCTGAACAATTACTCTGCGTTTTTGGAGTAAGTTGCACAGCTTTACGTGAATAAAAATTTGTGCAATTTTTGCTCAAAACTTTGTTTGTGTAAAGCTATATTACTTTGTTTGTGTAAGCAAATAAAGTAAGCTAAGCTACTTTGTTTGTGTAAGCAAATAAAGTAAGCTAAGCTACTTTGTTTGTGTAAGCAAATACTTCAAAATTGATGAGTAAAAGCAATTGCTTTTTTCACCCAGCCTATTACTTGAACTTGAAGAATTATATTACGATACAAAAGTATGAGTTTTATATTATTTACAAATATAAGTTTTATTTTTTATACAAATACATGAGTTAATATTATAAACAAATATATGATATTTATTTTAAATAAATATATATCTAGAATATAATGCTTATGTATTATTTTTTTTCTTTACAGTCTTTTGATCCAGGTTATGTTCTCTATTTGTATGAGAGTCCAGCAGGAGTTGGTGTATGTATACTTAGGATTATTGTAAGTGGAGATTTTTTATATTAAATACTTTCAATTTCAAATTATTTAAATTTCAAATAAAAAAAGATTAAAAATACTATTTTGCTTCACAAGTTTCGTGTTTGGTATTGTTATTTAAGTTTGGTTGTGGGGAATAATTTTGATCCTAGTGGAATGATGTGGGATCATAGTTAGAGATTATGGGGTATCTTCCCCTGAAAAATCTGATAGAAATTACCAATAGTTATGCATTTTTTCAATATTTGTAAAACATTTATGATTAATTAGTATTGCTATATAGGTCTGGTTGTGGGGAATAACTTTGGTACAAGTGAAATGATGTGCATTCATAATAGAGGCTTCTCCATGGTCTTGGGATTAGGGATCCCAAGATCATAATCATCATTACAAATAGTGTCTTTGTCATACAGGAAGCAAAAAAACTTCTGAGCTACCTTTGTAATCTTTGTAGTTGCCTAATATGACAAAGATGTATTTTTTGAAAATTGTGCTTGCCCTAGAAAGCTTTTACAACAGATTTTTTTTCTACATGCTTCATTAAGTAGGTACTGTTACAGCCAATGAATGAAAGAGTGCAATAAATTTGCAGGTTGAAAAAAAATTCAAAATTTTGCTGTAGGATTGACTTTTATAATTTTCTAATAATTTGTAAGCAACACAACAAAAGCATCTGTATCATCTATCATGACCATAGCAACTGAAAATGTGGTCACAACATTAAGAAGATAAGTAGGCATTAAGAAGATAAGTTCACCATGATAATGGAACATCAGCTGATAATGGACACTTAAGTGTCCATTATCAACATTGATGAACTTTTTATCTATTCAAAAATCAAAAACAAAAAAAGGTGTAATTTAAGTCAGTACCTGTCATATAATATTGATACATTATCAACATTGATGAAATTTTTATCTGTTCAAAAAAACCAAAACAAAATAAAGATGTAATTTAAGATAGTATCTGTCATATAGTATTGAAACATTTGTTAATAGTACAAATGTAAGTAAAAGCAATTGATAATTGATACATTTGTAAACAGTACAAATGTAGTTAAAAATAATTGATAATTAATACATATATAAACAGTTTAAATGTAAGTAAAAGTTTTTGATAATTGAGGAATCACCAAAACATCTTTTTTAAGCATTTTAAAAGTTTGCTTAAAGCAACTTACCAAAAGTTATATAGACAAATTTGTCTCAAGTTCTGTTTCTTTTGTTCTGTTTCTTTTGTTCTGTTTCTTTTGTTCTGTTTCTTTTGTTCTTTTTCTTTTTGTTTCTTCTGATACTTCAAATGAAATGAAGTTGAATAATTCTTTTTAATTTCAAAATTTAACAAAAAATTTTTTGCCAATCTTTAGGAATTTTAGCAGTGCTTGTCTCTGTCAATTTTTCTCTAGTCCTTTGATTTATATATATCCCACTAATCAAACACGCCTAGTTAAGGTGACCTTGCTATTACATGTTTTAATTGTGGCTTGAAAGTTCTTTGTACATAATCCTCAAAAGGTTATTCTTGCTAGATATTAGGATATCAGGTTTTGTGTAGGTGTTTAATTTTCCACTACTAAACAGTGTAGGGAGGTAGGGTGTTGATTCATGGTAAAAAAACTCCTTCAAGTCTCCCCCAAAACCCCAAATTGCGAACCCACAGAGCCCTAAATTTTAAACAGATGCTATTAACTCTTAAAAAAAAACCTTCCTATACCCACATTTTTTACTTCCAAACTATGAACGCAAACATTTCCATGAGGACCAAATATATTTCCCACAATTAGACCTATCAAGCGACATCAAATATGAAACTTTTGAAATAATTTGAGTTGACTTTAGAATTTTACTCAGTCATGTGTCTCCATAATGAAAAATAAATTTTAACAGATGTTTTTATTGGCACATTGAAAAGTGCTTAACACTCATATGCAAGTTAGTAAAAATTAAAAAAGAACCTTTGTCAACATTTACTTTCTATTATTTTAGGTCAAGGTTTTAAAATTTTAGATTTTTATATTACATTTTTTGTTATTATTATATTAAAAATATTGAATATTAAAAATTCAATTTGTTTTTATATTTTTGGTACTTTTAACAATCTTAAAATATTGTATAAGCTCTTTATGTCTTCACAAAACATAATTTTTGCTTTTTAAAGCAATGACAGTGTTCATCACAGGTTATTTAAGGTCTCCTCTATCTGATTTTATTAGCTATTCATTTTAGATAGCCATTCAGTTTTACATAAATTAAATATATCTAATGTGCATGAGTAATTTGAAGTTTGCACAAAGTGGGGTTTTTCATTAACACTAAGTGACTTATGCAGGCACATTTTTCATTCACAGTACCTTTTTTTGTTTATATATATTATTTTATATATGTTTTAAAGTCCTTTAATTCAATTTAATTTTCAATTCTCTCAATTCTCTCACAATCCACTCACAATTTCTCCCAGTTGTAGAAACCCTAAAGTGTGAAAACACTAGTGTGACTCGTTAAAAACAATGTGACAATGTGAAAACACTAGTGTGACTCGTTGAAAACAATGTGACAATGTGAAAACACTAGTGTGGCCTGTTGAAAACAATGTGACAATGTGAAAACACTACTGTGACTCGTTGAAAACAATGTGACAATGTGAAAACACTAGTGTGACTCATTGAAAGCAAAGATGATGTTTGAAATACTATAAATACTGTTTTATTAAAGTGGCAAAAAATGTTTTCTCCAAAATGTTTCAGCACTTTACAATGTACTAGGGCTTGTAAATTTACCAACTTTTTTGTTTACTGGTAATTCGGTAAATGATAATTTAAATCCCAGTATATTTGTAAATATATTAATATCTATAGATTAATAAAAATATAAAAGTTTAATACCATTTTTATTAAATAGCATTTTTCAAAAAGTAACTTTGTAAAAAGTTTAAATTATCCAATGTCTTGTCTACTAAACGAGGTCTAATTTTAGTACAAATTATTTATTGTTAATCTTTTTTTGTTATTTTCTTCTGAGACAGTTATTCTTTAATTCTTCTCTGTTTGTTTTTAATAGGATAAAGTTTATCCTTCATATAAAAATCATTATTTGGTTTAAAAGTAATGAGGTTGTTATTCAAATTTGAATCCGATTTATCATTTAGATTCCGCATTAGTGTACAAGTTGCTTTCTTCAATGTCAACAATACTTTTAAAGATTGTGGCTTTACTGCCGATATTAAAAGTACCGTAATTATATTTAACAGTAATAACCATATTAGGGCCTGTTATATAGTGTAAAATGTCTGAAAACATGGTTCTTCTCTCTTTAATTCAACTTATTAATTCTTTTTTTCAGGGGTGTGTAGTCGTAAAAAAAAAGTAACGACTCCGACTCCAGTTGTTGAAATTTTTTGAGTACATTTCCGACTCCAGTTATTGAAATTTTTTGAGTACAACTCTGACTACAACTCCAAAACAAAATTTTTGAAAAATTCTTTGAATTCTTTAAAAAATATTACGCAATAAGATAAAAAAATTTTTTTTTGACAAATTTATGAAACGTTCTTTAAGGTTTAGTATGAATATAAGGTTAATTGCATGTTTTGTACATGCATGTACAATACCGAGAAGTTTTACTATTAGAGTCGGAGTCGCAATTTTGTTTAGCGACTCCGACTCTGCTAAAAATGTTGCAACTCCGACTCCTACTCCAAAGCCCTGCTTTTTTTAGTGCAATGGTTAAAAAAGAGTTTTGGTTACTTTTTTAACATTGCACTAAGAAAATTAAACACCTACACAAAACCTGATATCCTAATTCATTTAATATAAATTTTAAAGTTAGATCGGCTACATATAAATTAACCTTTTCAGTGTAGAGTGTTTCAACAGCCAAGGTAATAAGTTGCAAGCCAAGGTTGCAAGATTGGTATTATATTTGAAACTCATCAAAATTTATGTCCGTTTTTAAATTTCTCAACTTTTTTAGAACAGCATCTTTTTCAAAATTTTTTCAACAATAAACTAACCTATCTAGTTTTTCAATTTATAATAAAAGAAAGTTCTTTTCCTACAGTTTCTTGAATATATTTTAGCACTAGTTTATCATTTTGGGTTGGTGATTGTCTAAAAATTCTTAGGACTTTCCGAATTTTTGTAATTAAAGAATTTATCTCTGCGTTTTGTAGAAAAAGATGGATAGTCTCAGTCTCTTCATGGTCTACTTTGAAGTTTTCCAATTTCTAAATAATCAGAATCAAAATCAACATTAAGTATTATTATAGATTAGCATCACATTTATTAACATCTTGTACATCTGTTGTACTAGTATTATAAAGTACTTTTATTATTGCCAATTGTAGGCCATGTACAATACATAACTGATGTTTTTTATTAAGTAGTTTTATTGTTTTCTTATTAATGGCAGCTCCGTCTGATGTTATGCAGACAATATTTGACAAAGTTATATTAAACTCTTTTACCTCCTTTTCAATTAGTTCTGCACATCAGCAGGTGCAGATCCATGAATCTGACTCAATCCAAGATTAAAAATTACTGTAATTTTCATGAATAATAATATTTATATACCGACAGTTTGTACTAGTTTGGTGAATTCTAAAATCCCCCTTATTTATGCACATGTCCCAGCAAACATTCGCAAAACTTTTTTTAAGCACTCAAGAGAGCAAGAGCTAGAGTGAAATTTAAATTGGCCGAATATTAAATCATATGAAGGTGGCAATGATGCACTTTGGTCTGGTGTTACATTTTCTTTGATTTTGCAAATTGGTTCACTGAAAGATTTTCCAAATAACTTTTGCTCCATTTATCTGTGGTAAGACTAAATGCTTTTTTTATTTAGCTTATACTGTAAAATTTCATTTACTTTACTTATTTTATCGGCATAACCCATTACTTTTTTTAAATGGTTTTGAATAATATAGGTATCTCTATGTAGCCCTTTGCTTTCAATAGCATCTTTCTATAAAGTTTATTAAAAGAAATCTTTTACAATCATTCTTGAAAGTACAGCTTCAAGAGATTCATCATTTTTTTTTTTAAAAAAGAAGTAATTTTTGATGCTACAGGAATTGCTTGTTCTTTTGAGTGGTCATCTATGTATTTTTTAAGCACTTTAATTTTATGTTGACTTTTGATGGCCTTATATTTTGATGGCCAAACCAATAGTACTTCCACCTGCTGTTTTAATTCTTTTTGAGCATTGTTTACATACAGCTATATATCTTGTTTCTATATGTTTTTATACGGCTATATTTCTCGTTTCTATATGATGATATTAATTCCAACTTTTTATCCGTTAAAAAGTATCGTAGGTTTTTAAAATGAAATTAAAAAAAAATTATTTTCTTCAACTATAAAAAATGTCAGCAATTGAACAAATTTTATCAGTTGATTTTTTAAAACAAGTGAACTTCTATCTTATTTCAAAGGTTTTTAATTACATTTGTTAAGTTAACTCACGCGTTAAGTTAAAACAAAATAATGCCATTCTTAATAATTCTTAATAATTCTTAAAATTTAAATGTTAATTTAATTATAATTTTAAATCTTAAAATTTATAATGTTATTGACAAGAAAAATGTCTATAAATAATTTATTTAACTTTAATTTATTTAACGCATTCTTTATTATATAAGAATAATCGACCATTATGAATTTAAGTACATATCAAAAAACCTGAATTTTAAAATTTACAGGTAAAAAAATTTCAACCAAATTTAACTATTTACCAGTATACCGAAAACCCTATTACAATCCCTACAATAAAAATCTGGGAATAACATGTCTTATGTAAATATTTATATACATGCATTTATAAAACATTTGTGCATAAAATGAAGTTGTATCAGCATTAAGATGATCATCTTTATGTTTAAATTTTTACTTAGTGTAAATATTTATCTTTTAATTTCTAGGCATGGGTTTGGTTTTGCTATGGTATTTACTTCAGTTTAAAGAATTATCCTCATAAGCGCCTTTTTTACTTTCCATTTTGGTTATTTTATACATTGTGGTATAATTTTTATTTTTAACTATCAATTTTTGTTATTCAATTCACTGTCATAAAATTTTTTTTTATTATTATATATTTTGTTTAATTTATTACTATTTAGAATACCATCTACATGTTTAAAAAAATTGATTAAAAAAAACATAAGATAAAACTCAAATACAATGTGTTAATTATTAAATTTCTAATATTTAAATAAAAAATCAGATTTTGATTGGTTTTAATAATTTTAATAACATTTTTTAACTGGATAACATTTTTTGTATTGAGCTGTTTGCATTAAATTTAAGATTGATAGAATGTTAAAACTCTGATATCATCTTTGTTGTAACATTTTTTTTAACCTTTTGAACATATAATTATATATATATATATATATATATATATATATATATATATATATATATATATATATATATATATATATATATATATATATATATATATATATATATATATATATATATATATATATATATATTTAAACATCTTTGCTTCCAACAAGGCTGCAAGCAACCACTAATTAGTGTTGGAAGTTACTGGAAAAGAAAAGATGAAGATCGTAGAGCAAGATAACGATTGACAGACGACTTAAGAGACTGCATATTATATGAGTCAGGAAAGCTAGATGAAAGAAGCGAATTCTAAAGAACTGATGTTCAAGGAAAAAAACTAGATGAATAAGAGTTTTTGGAACACTTAGGAACATTAACAGAAAAAGGATGAGACTTAGTTGAATACCGAGTACCACGAGAGTGAATTTTAGTAGATGGCACGCGAGATGCTAGCTCTTTAGAGCAGTGCCCATTATAGTATTTGTAGAAAAGAGAAAGAGAAGCAACATTATGACAATGTGATAATGATTGAAGTTTGGCTGCAAAATCATGTCTAACTATGTTTACAATGCGTTTTTGCACCTTGTCTAAAAGAGAAAGGGCATCATTAGAAGATCCGCCCCAGATATGGCAACAGTATTCCATATATATGTATATATATATATATATAAGGCTTGGTCAGGAAGCAGGCGCGATCGTACTTGATAACTGACCACAGAAATAATATTTAGTTGCGAAAAACCGGCCAGATTTTTTAGTCGTTTTGAGATCATTCAAGTTTATGTATGTTTCCTTGTTTGTTCACAAAATAATAAGTTTATTATTTTATCTTAAATTTTAATATTTTGTTTTACAGACATACATGGAAACCTACATAAACTCAAATGTTCTTAAACATTTTTGTGCGAAAAAAGAAAAAAAGAAAATTCGCGAACACAAAAATTCCGCCAAATCTACGAACAACTAATTTTATTAGTTCAAAGTTGAATTCAAGTTAATAAATAAATTTTTGAATTCAATGAGTTGAATTTAATGAGTTGAATTCAAGTTAATAAATAAATTTTTGGAAAGAACCTGTTTCAACCTATTGCACCTCCTAATATCGAGTGCAATCCTGTCCACTTTCTCTATGCTACCTTTCTAACACGACTACTTCTGTCTTTTAGTCTAACATATCTTCCTTCTTCCTAAACTCACTTTACTCTTGGTCCGTAGAGCAGGTTATGACGCTCCTTGGGGAGCCGAACCTGTCTTTGCCGGCCTTGGTAATATGGTCTCTATATAGCAATTAGCCGGAGGAGGATAAACCATTATACCAATACCAATTCTATTAGTTCAAAATTACTGTCCGAAATTTCTAGAGTATTCCAAAATTACTAACCGAATGTTCTGAGTATTCTGTTTAAAAAATTTAAAAAATTCTATTATTTGAGTTTTGTTATGTTTTTGTTGAGATTTCTAATTATTTTAAGAATATACTATCAAACGCATTACTACTTTAATTCTCGGAGCCACATCTACAAAGCTATAAATGTTTTAAACTAACATTATTTGTTAACAAAAAAAAATGTTTTAAATTTATATTTCTTAACTTATCAATGTTTTGTAAACATAATATAGATTTTATTAGTATGTTTTAATTTTTTTTATATAAAAGAGATGTATTTTTTATGTATGTAACATATTTTTATGTATGTATTTTTTATGCATGTATTGTATTTTTATGTATGTATTTTTTATGCACGTAATTTTATGTATGTGTATTTTATTCAAATTAATCTTTTAAAGCAATTTGTGTGATTGATTTTGTAAACAAAAATACTTTCAATAATAACTGCGTTTTCAATGAAATTATTAATAATTATCCAAGTTAATACAAATAATTTTAACCACTAATCCATTTTTCTCAGTGTACTCAGGCTTGGTGGGGAGGCGGGTGCGATCGTACTCGATAATTGACCACGGAAATAATATTTAGTTGCAAAAAACCGGGCAGATTTTTAGTCGTTTTGAGAACATTTCAAAAAAAAAAAAGTGCAATAAGATTAACTATTACTATTAGAGCAAATATTTTTGAAACGTCGCTCTTTTATAATTTTTTTAATAAAATCAAGTGACATTTTTCATATAAAGTAACAACTTACTATTAATGATTGTTTAATAAGGAAACAAATGTTCTCTGATTTATCAAAGAGTATATATAATTTTTATTTATATACTTACGTCTTATTTCCAGTATTGGATTTAGGAGGTGGGGGGGGGGAGTAGAAGGACTATAGCCTCGGGACTCACAATGTTAGGGGCTGCGAAATAGTCAAGAGGACCATTATGTATTTTTTTAGTCATTTTTACGTTGTGGCACATAAAAAAGGCTACCAAAATAATGCAGTTCTCGACCCTGAAAAGTCCAACAAGATTTAACCAATAAAACTAAAGCTAGATGATTTATTTATAAATAAAAAAGTTTTTTCAATAACTGTTTTATGCTTCGCGTAGTTTAAAAAGTTAAACACATTTGAAACAATTTTTCTTAGTAAGATGAACAAATGAAATAATTAAATCATTGAGTTACTGTAGAAATTAGCTAAAATTAAATTAACTAAAAACGTTAAATTACTATGTGAGGAGGAAGCGGAACTGTTTCACAATACCGCCGATGATGTTTAGTGAGTGGCCTTTATAATTTTAATTAGTATTTAAAACAGAAAAAAGTAACTTTAAGTTCAAATATAACGAGTTTGTAAGAATGGCTTAAGCAAAAATAATTGAAGTTAGTAAACTAATTTCTAAGAACTTAAAAACTTTCTTTTTTGGGGGAAAGAATCAGTTATCAGGTACACTGAGGAAAATGGATTAGTGGTTAAAATTATTTGTATTAACTTTGATGAATATTAATAAATTCATTGAAAACACAGTTATTAATGAAAGTATTTTTGTTTACAAAATCAATCGTACAAATTGCTTTAAAAGATTACATTTGAATAAAATACACATACATAAAATTACATGTATAAAAAATACATAAATAAAAATATAATATATTCAAAAAAATACATTACATACATAAAAAACACATCCCTTATATAAAAAATAAGAATATAGTAATAAAATCTATAATATATTCACAAAACGTTGACAAGTTAAAAAAGATAAATTTAAAACATTTATTTATTTATTTTTTTTTTCTTTAATTTTATTTGCATTCACTCCCAACAAGTGCAAGCAACCACTATTAAGTTGGGAGTTACTAGGAAAAAAAAGAACAGAGTTGAAACGGTTGACAGAAGACTTGAAAAGTTGAAGGTTGCATGAGTGGGGAAAACATGAAGATGGGAGAGAGTTCCAAAGGATTGAAGTGCGGGGAAAAAAACTAGATGAATAAAAGTTTTTAGAGCATGCAGGGACAGATACAGTAAACGAATGAGACTTAACTGAATGACGAGTAAAATGAAAATGAATTTTAGTTGATGGAACTAGAGATGATTACTCCTTTGAGCAGTGACCATGATAGTATTTGTAGAAAAGAGAAAGAGATGCAACTTTACGACGATGGGAAAGAGGTTCAAGCTTAGCAGATAGTCCAGGTCCAACAACATTTACAATGCATTTTTGGACCTTGTCAAGAAGAGAAAGTGAATCGTTAGAAGAACCAGCCCAAATATGACAACAGTATTCCATACAGGGACGAATAAGAGATTTGTTGAGGTAGAGAATGGAATCAGAAGTAAGGAAATGGCGAGCACGATAAAGAGAAGCAACCTTAGCAGAAGCTAATTTAGCAATCGATTGTATATATGGTTTCCATGAAAGGTCAGTAGTAAGCGATAATCCAAGAAGACATAAAGAGGACGACTCAGTAAGAGGATTGCCATTCATTAATATAGGAATGTTGACCATATTACGGTAGTTGTTTGCAGTAAGCAATTGGGTTTTTTTAGAGTTGAAATTCACAAGCCACTGTGAACCCCAATCTATTCAATCAGATTCAAGATCAGCTGCTTGTTCTAGGCGATCGAAAAGAGAAGACTTTTTGTCAAGACAGGAGTATAAAGTTGAGTCATCAGCAAAAAGAGCTACTTTAGATGAAAGGTTGTCAGGAAGATTGTTTATGTAGATAAGAAACAAAACAGGGCCCAGGATGGAACCTTGGGGAACCCCAGAAGTTACTGGAAATAAAGAAGAGTGTTGGCCTTCAAGGATGACTTTAATAAACCGGTTAGAAAGAAATGATTTGATAATCTCAAAAACTTTCCTAGAAACACCATATGAAGCAAGCTTATGGAGAAAACAAGCATGCCAAACTTTGTCGAAAGCTTTAGATATGTCGAGAGCAATAGCCCTAGCCTCACCGCCTCCATCTAATGCACGATAAAATTTTTCAGTTACAGCAGTTAGCAAGTCGGCCGTAGAGCGAGAGGATCGATAACCGTATTGATTGTGTGACAGTAGTTTATTTGACTCAAGATGAGATGTGAGGAATTTGTTGATCAAAGACTCTAAGACCTTGCTAATAACAGAAAGAAGACTGATCGGACGATAATTGGAGGGGTCAGAATTTTCTCCAGAGTTTTTGAATATTGGAACCACAGATGCCATTTCTAACAAGCAAGAAAACAAGACTCAGTCAAACACTTGTTAAATAGTTTAGAGAGAATTGAAGAAAGTTCT